TGCTCAGTTTATACAGGAAAGTGTTGTCTGCAACAAGGGACCTGCAGAATTCTTGCAGAATGTCATTGATAAAACAAATAGAAAAACAGACTTCTTGCATGCTTACGTAAGTGGAGCAAAAAGTAATTCTCTTTTCCCATCTCGCTAGACAATCACATAATTTCCTCATATCTTAGTAGTCAAAGGGGCAACTGCAAAATCAGTTTCAGTACTCCTTAGTTACAGAATGTGCATTTAATTATTCATTTTTAAAAAATATCTTTAATTTGCTGATTTATCAAAGTGAAGATTACTGTATCAAAGGAATACTCATGCCATCCAGGAAGATTAGGTGTCTACGTATAATTGAGAATTTGCAGTTTAGGGTCTAACCCCACTTCTGTTAAATAAATAACAGGATTCACATGACTTCAATGGAGATGAGATCAGGCCCTTAATATATATCCCCAGTTTACTATCTGTAAAGTAGGAACAACCTTACAAAAGTGTAAAATGTTCAAAGCTGAACAATAATTAATATAATTCCAGAAAAATACCATAGTGAGCCCAGTTCACCTTTATGTGTCCCCAAACTGTAAATAACACATTTCTTAATGAGGAAGTCTAGACAAAGGATTTTAGATAATGGCAGGGGCAGGTGATCCGCCCTTCCACGGATTTGGTAGTCAAATGTTCATTTAAAGAGTATGGAAAGTCTGAAATCTATAATGGGAAATACAAATGCAGAACTGTATGTCTAATTGTGGAGTTTAAGGAGTAAAGCTCAAGTAAAAGTATTGGGTGTGCTTGGGAATGGAGAGTGACTACTGCAAGCAGAGACAAGGAAAAAGAAAAATTCAAATAACAGTAACAAAGAAGAAATTAGCATAAATGTGTATCAAGAGTTTAAAAGAAATTTGGAAACAACTATTTTGTCCCAAACATGCTTGAATGTAGAGTGGCCGTTTCTGTAGTTAATGAACAATCTAGTTTGTGCATGCTTGAGTGACTGTCAGTTGCATAACAGCAAATTCTATATGACAACCATGCATAACTTCAGCAACACGCAAACATTTTCTTGTTGCCTGAACTAATGAGTCATTTAGTTGGGATAAATCAGGTTATTCAGTAGATGTTTCAAGCAGCTAATAGGCCCGATTCTGCTGCTGATCCTTCTTCAAACTGGTACTCTCAAGCACAGTTAAATTGTGTATCCACTGAGTGAACTCACATATGGAGTCACTGCAGGATAAAGATACTGCATAACTTTAAAAAAAAAAGTCCTCATAATTCAAAAAAGGACCAAACAGTATAAAGTATTTGCTGTTTGTTTTTGGAGGAAGAAATACTTGATCAAATGATCTGCGAATAGATCTGTGAGATAATTAGGAATTTTAATGCTGATTCTTCTTGACTTTCTCTATGGCCTTGAGCTTCAGTGTTTCTACCTGTGGAAATAAAAACACTTACATGCTTTATGGAGTTTTGCTGAGATTGCTATATTTCTGAAAGTATTTAGATAAAGTTGGATATTAACTATACAAATTTAAAAGAAAAAGTCTGCTAATTCTGTGAATAAATGAAAATCTCAAATAAAAGTTATGAAGCAAAAAAACAAGTTTTTGTAAGATACATGTTTTGCCTGAAAAAAAGACAGGAAAAGTTGCTTACAGAAGGACTATTTGAAGACTGCTAATGGGGAATCCTAAACAGATATTTTCTTGTGTCTTTCTGAACTATTATTAATAAATGTTTTGCTCAAATGGTAGATATAGGATTATGAGTTATTTCATTAAACAAAGAAAAACAAAATTTTTAATATAAATGGATAAAAAATTACATTTAGTCTTGTCAGTGTGCATTCTTGAATGCATTTTAGGAACTCTAATTGATGAGACCTAGTTTAATAAAATATAGGGAAATTCTGCAATCAGGCCTCAGAATATGCAGTTTAATTATGTCGGTGTGTGTTTCTATTTGTTTCTAATGTAGAGGATCTATTGGTAAAATGAATGCCCATTTTGTGGTCTGTTATGCAGAAAATGTTTAATCCAGTGTTTGATTTACTCTGTTAAATCTTCTTTATTGAATGTGCTTATTCATCCATGCAGAATTGGGTATGCTGCTTTCTGTTACTATGACATTGCAATTAAATAGCTAAAGAGAAAAACATGGTAAGACATTTTCTCAGGGTCCATGAAATTCTCATAAAAATTATTCATACTTATGTATTTTGCTTTAACCTTTGCTGATGTTAAAACTGTGAAGTGGAGGGAAACATTTTTGCATTGGATGGGGTTGACAAACCTAGCAGTTAAAGATCCTGAATAATCATTTTTGTCAAATAAATAGTGCTAAGAAGAATTTCTGGTCCAGTGGATAATGACTGTCATCATGAAATAGGACTGCACTGATTGCATCTTATGAATGAAGCTAACAGGAACTCACAGAACCAAACAACAGCATTTTGTGGTGGGATAAATACTTAAGCACTTGAGAAACAGTAAGACATTGACAGTGAAATAGCTCTGTTCTAGTGCACTCCTAGAATTATACTAAACAATAAAAAAGGTTTTCACAATGAAATAATATTTTCATGAATATGCCCCCTCTCAGCAAGGAAGGATGTGAGGGGAGAATTTGTCTGTTCCGAGACAAAAAGATCTACGCAATATAGTGATACTTTGCTCCTCAACTCATGTAGGTCAGGGTGATCAGCACCGTGAGAATTCTGGAGGGGAATTATTTGTTGTGGCACGTTAAAAAGATAGAAGTGACAGTCTCCGTAGCAGAACTGGAGTACAGAAGCTGCAGAATGGAAAAGGTTTTAAAATTCCTGTAGGACAGTTGAAAGTGTGAAAGGAACATAAGATTTGATCTTTACTGCTTTTACTTATGAACCCAAAGCTATTAGTTTTTTTTCTGTTACGTGTTTATTAGCCTGTTAACCAGGTACTGAGCTTTACGTATATGTATTTTGTATTCTTATGTTGTCTGACATTTCCTGGTAGGAGTTTGTTTTCTGTGCTGTGCTCTCTTCTGGCGGGTCTGGCAGTACCAAAGGGCTAAGGTGGTCTCTGGTTTCCATTAGTTGCTTTATACTATTTTCACCATTCTTTTGCTATGTGAACAAGGAGCTTGTAATAAGGTGTTAACAGGCTGCTGGCTGGTTTACTGTTATTATTGATTTAAGGTGTTAAGACTTTAATATAATCATACACAATGAACAATATTAAGAGATTAGTTTAAACCCATTCAAGTCATTAAATGCAATATAAAAAGCAAAACCTTCTAGAAATTTCCGGAGCGTACTTCATGCTGACACAGCTACTCTGTGCTAGATTATTTTGCTTACGCTGCTGTCTCTACATGTGGCTTTTTCAAACATGTCTTTCTAATTCTGCCACTCTTCCAGGCAGCCCGGCCGTACAGGAGGGGCTGCTCCGGCGCGGGGGCTCCTCCGATCCCCCCTTCACTTCTTTGTAAGATGAAGGAAGAGCAAAATGGGACCGAAGCGTGAGCTAAGGCTCGAGAGGAACGTAAAGAAAGAGTTAATGTTAATTAAAGAGTTGAGGAAAATAGAAAGGATTTAAGTGCCACCGAGAAGAAAGTACAGTCCAAGGTATAATTCATCTGTTAATAAAAAAGGAGAGACATGAAATTAATGACTAAAAATCGATGAACTAATACACTTTCTTTTAAAATCAATCTTCAACATGGTGAGTAAGAAGACTTTATAAAAATGTTGTCATCAATAAAATAATAAGGGAAATACTTTATTGATTTTCCCCCTAATACTGCAAAGCGTAAGTTGTACTGAACAAAGAAGTCGTAATTTAGTCTTAAACTTACAGCGTACGAGACAATAGGCAGAAAAGGTTGCAAAGAATAACAGTTACTGAAGAAATCTGGTATCTTTTAAGGAAGCGATCCACAAAATCTTACTTTCACCCTAAAATAAATCTTTTTTCATATGGACATTTCCACTTAATTTTGGAAACCGCCAAAGAGTTATAAAGATGTAAACTAAGATATCAGGATATGATAAATGGTAGGGAATAAAGCGAAAAGAAGTTGGTAGGAACTAAGTGCTAAACAATTGGTCAAAGAGTAGGCAGAGAATACAGGTGATTTTTTACTCCATTTTTAGTTACTAAGAGAGGGTAACGTTGGCAATCTAACTGATGTCAAAAGTGATTCTGAGTTACGGAAGATTTGGTCCCCAAGTACCTCAGCGAAGTCAGCACATGAACGGGACACCAAACGCGCGGGTTACGGCTGCAGTAGGGTTACGTATAAAGCTCACGAGCAAGGCGAGGCCG